GGTAAATTGAAAAAAAAAAGTGTCCTTGAAACTCCAACCCTGCAAATATATATATATATGGGAAAAATATTTCGGCAGTTAATGTAGATAAGTTATCTGCATTTATTTCCAAAAAGACGTCGTTTTGGTATTGAAATCTTAAAAAATTATAAATATAAAGACTATTATAACTCTGAAATAAATTAAAATTACAAAAACACCATGATTTTCGCTTCAAAACGACGTCGTATTGGTTTACTGCAGATAACTTATCTGCAGTAACTGCAGAAAAAATGAATCCTATATATATATAGGTAGGATATTCTTACACCGGTGTAAGAGTTAGAAGTCTTACATTCAATCTTAACCATTGATCCACTTGTATTTAATGGCTCACCTTACTACAAAATTTGAGCTCTTAGATATAGATGGGATCAACGGACAAGATTGAGAGTGTAACTTACACTGATGTAAAATGATCCTGATCCATATATATATATATATATATATATATATATATATAGGAAAGTTATATTTATAATCTATTTTTATTTACAACCTCTTATAACCATATCTTAACCGTTGATTTCTGTCAATCAACAGTTATCATTTATTGTGAAATAATAATAATTAATTAATGATTTTGATTTACGAAAATAATAACCATTGATTGGAGGAAATCAACGATTAAGATATAGTTACAAGAGGTTGTAAACGAGATATATATATATATTTGCTGGGCTAAATAGTGTGGACCTATATTTTAGAAAGCAACATAATACAGGAAAGTTTGCATGTTAGCTCAATATTGATCATAATTGGTAGTTTCCGTGCCAATGAAGAGGATGTAGACATAATCTTTACGAATTAGCCTATCGATTAAAAGAGCTAACTTTTTTGTTGAAACCTTATGTCAAACAGTACCTATCAATTCTGGTGGTTGAAATTATATATACATTGTAGCTAATTGTAAATAAAGGACATGATACAGAGATTAAAATTTCTTACTTTTTTTTTTGAAACATGAAATTTCTTACTTTAGATGTCCCTTTTTGATACAATTGCTATAAGTTTCAAATTAATATACATGAGAGATTATTCAATTTACATATCTTTATTACTGTTGTCAATAAATTCTCGCAAACCGTTTTGAAGTAAGATGAATAACACAAAAGATTAGTTATGTAATGGGCTTAAAACTATTTTAAAAAGCTTGATTACTAGAGAGGACCATAGATAAAGTTATTGCTGCAGGTTGTCACAATTCATGTTCTCGATTTAAATTATTGTTGAAGGCAATGATGCCTTGAGAAGGAGAACACTTTAGTAAGAGGACTTTCGGGTTGTCAAATGAGGTAAGCCTACCTTCTCTCCCTCTCAAAAGGGTATGATCATATGCAAATATATATCAACCACTCTCTTTTATTATGCTTAAATTAGAAGAATACTTTGTATATTATACAATGTTTCAGTCATATCAGATTCTAAACAGTACAAATATTTGCTTGATGTATTTGAGTTCAAGTGGTGATGTTTAGAATAGAAAGTAAACTATGTAATTTTATTTAACCTTTTTAGTTTTGTTGGAATTACACATTGATCTTTTACTAAATTTGAAAAATTTGTGAATTATTACATTTAATTTGAATTTGATTAGACAAATTATTTTTTTTATACTTTTATATTTTCAACAAAATAACAAATTTGCTACTCAAGTTTATGTTCTTATATTATAATGCTTTTCTCTAATAATATTGATATCCACACGTTAGCAATTAATTAAAATATTTCCAGCAATCCTATGCAAATTAAAAGACCTTTTTAAACAAATGGGTGCTATTATGGTTGGTGGAAGCTGCTCAACTTCCATCCTCTCTGTGAGACCATCATTATGTGGTCCCAACCTCTATCAGTGAACTCATTTGCAGGGTAATTATGATTAATGAGCACAATCCCATGGCTGCACATGCTAATCTTCTAAATTAAACTAATTAATATGGGTGTTCCTAAGATGGCTTAGATGCGTCGGTGCTTGAGGCATTCACACTACAGCAGGTTCCCCTTCTGCCATGCAACACGCATCGTCCTCATAATTGCATTCACGCATTGGTGGATGTACAAAAATTTTCATTCTTTGTTTTTGTTTTTCACTAGAGAAGTACAACCAAGAATTCCAATAAGCATTTTCAATCAGTTATATTACAACACGTGGTATCAACAATTTCAATTATTTATTGAAAAATATTTCTTCTACATTGTAAAATATTACATCTAGCTTATATCCCATTATCCATAAGTTAATTATTATTTAATTATATTCAAGTAAACAAAACGAGTAGTATTAGATAAACAATCCTAAAACGTTGGTCATCAATCATTAAGAGCCTGTTTGATATTTTTTTTTTTAAGCTAAAAGTTATTTTTAAGTTAAAGTTAAAAAAAATAACTTAAAAAATAAAACTAAAAATTATTTGGTGATTATATAAAGTTTTCCTAATGATTTTGAAATATGGAAGATAAAATAATTTATTATTAGAATGAATTATTAAGGTAAATGTTAAAATTTATAAATATAAGCTTAGAATAAAAATAAAATTATAAAATAAATAAAGAGTCAAAAAAGCTAACATACTTCTTAAAAAAATTTATCTTCAGAACTTTTAACTTTTAGTTTTTTTCTTCATTATAATTTTTTTTATAATAAAATCTTTTATAAAAACATATTTGACTAAACTTTTATTCTTAAAGAGAAGAAAAGTTAAAAATAAGACATGTCAAATAAACATTATAATTAGGGGTTCAAATTCTGTCTCAAGCAAATTCTTGGAAAATCTTTGGGGGCCAGAGGACGTGCCTCTCCCCTCGAAGGGAGATTAGTCTCATCCTTCCTCCGGTAGCGAAGCTCAATGCACCCGCTGTTCCAATGAGGGGCTAGCCTTTGAGCCGTACTCTGAGGACAAGGTAACCAGATGAGGTTGAACGAGGATACCTCCAGATTATATAAAAAAAAACATTAACTCATCAATACCTAAATATAAGGAAGATGTAAAATTTCAGAATTGGAATACGTAACTGTCAACTGAAATTTATTTGTTGTGATTTATTTATTGTGATATATATATATATATATATATATGGAGATTTATATTTATAAATTTTTTGATTACAAACTACTTTATGTTCTCCTGGAAGAACACAAGGTTACACTGTATTCTCCCGAGAGTACATAATGTAATTTATAAAAATTTGTAAAAAATTTTTGTAAACGAATCATTCTCGTGTGTATATATATATATATATATATATATATATATATTTACGGATCATTTCACGGATCATCCGGGAGTACTGAATACATAATAATAATACTTATGATCGTTGCATCAAACAAAAAGTTATCATTGTACCAAAAATAAGTTTGTACCAACAAATTCAAAAACAAAATGCTACCGGTTGCTGTTATCTCGTAACCTAACTAATCCACAAATTAAAGATAATTAATAACTAATATATATATATATATATATATATATATATATATATATATATGGAGTAGGATCTTTTGACATTTTATTTGAGAGCCATTAGATAAAAAAAGATCAACAACTCTGATTTGTAAGCATGTGACACCATTGATCTTTTTTGATCTAACGACTCTCAGAAAAAGAGTCAAACTTTAAATTTGATATCGATGTCAAAAAATTCTACCCCATATATATTAATTATTAATTATCTTTAATTTGGGGATTAGTTAGGTTACGAGATAACAGCAACCGGTAGCATTTTGTTTTTGAATTTGTTGGTACAAACTTATTTTTGGTACAATGATGACTTTTTGTTTGATGCAACGATCATAAGTATTATTATTATCTTAATTGAAATTTAAGCAACAAAGTATTTAAAAAAAAAAAAAATTAAGCAACAATAACGAGGATTACACATTCTTTTCATGAAAAATAAATTTAACTTTACTCACACCTAATTTGAATTTATAAAATACTTTTGATTTTTTTTTTTGTGCGTGTTGGGGAGAGGGGGTTGTGTGTGTGTGCAATTAGAAGTGATGATCTTAACAAATTTATAATATATATAAATTTTAATTTATCTTCACTATCTGTAGGGTTAGAATTTAGTTTGTGCATGCACTGTTGGAAAAAATTTAGAATGCACCTGAACTATCATGGTCCTTTAATTAAAAATTTGACACTTTTAAATTTTTTTATCTCTTTTCTCTCATCAACTTTTTGTCTCTCTTTCACTCCCCTGCTCCACTTAATGTTATGTGCTCCAGGAGCATTAAATATACTCTCGCACTGGTGACATAGATTCTTTACCTAGCATGCCTTAGTGTTATTCTGATTTTAAGTGTGTATGAGTTAAATTGAACTGAATTTTTTTAAGAACTGAACCGAATTGATTTAAACTGTTCGGTTCGGTCGAAAACCATTTCGATTCAATTCAAAAATGGTTCGGTTCAATTCGATTTGAAACCAGTTCAGGTTAAACTTATTCTGAAAAAAAAGAAAAAAAAATAAAGTAATAAAACGATTCGGTTCTTGAACTGGTTCTTTAAAAACCAGTTCAGTTTATGAATTGATTTTCAAAAATCAATTATTTTAAGTACAGTTCGGTTGAGATCACATTTGAGTTTAGTTTTTTTATTCTTCTAGGCAGCTCTAATTTTAAGCTCGGAAAACAGAATAATTTCCACCTAAAATCTTACATATGAATACACGGGGGAGTAATACAAATTAAAACTATTATATTTTTTAATCAATAATTCAAGTTTTTTTTTTTTCTAATACTAACGAAGCAAGTATCTCATAATATAGTTAATGCCCTGTTTTTATTACTAAAACAAATGGCTGAAATTTATGCCAAGTGGTTTTCCACACTTTTTCATGCTGTCTACTCTGGTAGCATGAAAAAGTAACTTACCCAGAAAAAACCTGAGTACGACTAACCATTGTATTGGTCTTGTTATGATATCAAACAAGAAAACAAATTTCTCTACACCAAAACCCCTCAAATTCAAATCCCCAGCCACTCTCCATGGGAGAAAAAGAGAAGAAAAACAAGAACAAGAAGCAAAAGCACCAACACCCAAATGACCAAACCACCAAGCAAGCCTCTGATTTCTCCTTCAAGCCAATCTCAGAGGTAAAGGGTATCCGATTCGGAGGCCAATTCATAGTGAAATCATTCACAATCCGAAGAGCAAGGCCTCTTGAGCTTCTAAAAGTTCTATCTTTCCCACCAACCAATAACACCACCAATAAACCAAAAGATCACAAGCTCCCTTTCCCTTCCACAACAGCATTCTTGCCAACAAACTTCACCATCTTGGCACACCAAGCATGGCACACCCTCACCCTTGGACTCGGAACCAAGAAGTCCAAGGTGCTTCTATTTGTGTTTGAAACTGAAGCCATGAAGGCTTCAGTGGATCGAACATGGCCATCAGAGATATCACTTGGTGAAGTGAACAAGAGGCTCATAAGGGGTCTCACTGGTTGTGAGATGGCTCGCTTCAAGTTCAGAAAAGGTTGCATAACTTTCTATGTCTATGCGGTTCGGCAAGTTGGTAACTTGGGGTTTCCTTGTGCTGAAGATCTAAGGACTATTCTGCAGTCTGTTGTGGAGCTTAAAGATTTCTTGGATCACACTGCTATGCTTTCCATGCCTAACCAGAGAAGCATCAGTTACTCAAACTCGCAGGTAGCCATGGCTCATTAGGCAAACCTATGATCAATTATCATCATCATCATCATCATTTTTAGGATCTTACTTAGAATTATTTTTGCTTAATTTGTTAACTTGTTTGCTTAGTCTTGGGAATTTTGGGAGGCTTATTATTGGTTTATTTGTTGATGATCTTGTTTGTTCTGTATTTCTTTTATTTTATTTTGAATTTGGCGAAAAAAAAGAAATTGTAATTTAGCATGAATAATTGTTGCAAGAATCGATGTTTATAAGGTGAATCCTAACTTCTTTGTTCTTACTAGCTATACTAATTCTCTCAAGCAACTCCGTGCAAAAATGCTTTCTAGCGGACTCAAATTCTTGATGTTAGATAGATTTTTTATTTAATTTATTTACCACATGAACTTTAAAAATGAAAATGCTTTCTATCTGATTCCCCTCTTAAATGCTAATTATTAGCAAAGCGCAATATGCAATTTTGCTGCTATTACCCATTGTTTATATTATCTTGTAACACGCCCTAATAAATTCTTGTAGGTTATGCATCTTGTAACCTGAGAAAAGTCCACTTCTATTTTAGTTAGCGCAAAAGAAAGGTTTGGTGGTTGAAAATTTAAGTAGATTGTAGTAAGAAATTTTTAATATTTTTTTCTAAGTAGATTATATAGTATATTACAACACATTGTATTACAACCTAATAATGTTTCATGAAAAAAGTTATTAACCTCATAAAGTCATAATGATGATTAAAGGAAAAAAAAAAAACCAATATAGTTTTTTTTTTCGCGTCTCCGTTGTCAAACATTTTGTTTTTCTCACAAATTTATGAATGTTTACAGCGGAATGTAAATTTCAATAATGCAAACAAGGCATCAACGAAATAAATGAATCTAAGAGTTTGCAATAACTGTATAATCTAGAGACAGAAACTGCCCAATTCAATTTTTTTTTTCTTCCTGCAAACTATTTTCTGGTAAATTGTGCCACTATCTAACCCGTGATGCGTGAACTAACCAAGTTTTAATATTTGATAAATAGCAAAATGCCAAAAAAAATCTCGAAATGTTAAAAGGACCCTCCATATAATATTCTAGCTTTGGAAAACTACATTGGTAAAATATTGTAAGCACGAATGTGCCTGTGACTAAGAATTATGGGGATTATCCTAACAATAGAGGAATTGAATATGGTATAATAGTACTGTTTTGGCAGAATGGAATACTCGAGATATAGGATCAATGAAGAAGGAGCAATGGCCAACCTTTCCTTCTCCATCATAAAGTAGCTAAGGGTTCAGAAAAGTGAAGGAAAAAGGAAAGAGACCATGTTTCTTTTTCCCCTGTGCCCACCTCTGGCTTTAATCATGGCTTGAGAAGGACCCCATGTCAAGTGCCAACTTTAATCTTCACAAGAATCATGGACATCTCTGTCTGTGGATGCTTGTAGCTGCATATACAAGCACATATCCATTACCTTTACTCATTTATATGTTATGTGTACAGATCAAATGTGATAAGATTGGGGGTCCTGACTCCTGAAAAATTGAAGGAAGTGTGTGCTTGAAGCTTTGACTCAATAAATGTGTAGGCCTTAGTTGGTACCACCATGAGTTCATATTATTGAGCGTCACATGTTAGAACTTGCAATTTGACAAGAGAGGTAACTCGCGTGAGATTTTTTTTTTTTTTTATCCTTTGTATTTGAAGACCAAGTTAAATGGTTATAATTGTTCAAATACATAGGGAGAATCATAAAGAAATTCTTGATACAAATACTAATAATAAAAAATAAAACAATCATTACCTGTGCATGAAAGATAATGCGGATTCTTTTCTTTGGGAAAAGATATTGTAACTACCAATTAGTGTTACTATCAATGTTAATACCAATCAATTTCATCGTTAGATTGATTATGTTGATCCAACGGTTATATTTATTTTCATCTTTGTATGATTATGATTCTCTATATTTAATACTTTACATTTATTTTTTGTATGGTTATGATTTCTCATATTTAATGCTTTCACGTTAAATATGAAGAATCATAATCATACAAAGATGAAAATAAATATAACCTTTAGATTAACATAATTGATCTAACGGTGAAATTAATTGGTAGTAACACTAATTGATTGTTACAATATCCTACCCCTTTTCTTTATATTATATGCTTGTAAATCCCATTTTAACAATTCTTCCTAAGATATTTATGTTTTCTCTTTAAATAATTTCTAAATTTAAATTCATTACATCAATACGAAGTTCCCATTCCTACGATTCATAATACACAATATAAAAAATCGGTCGAACGATATACGATACATATTACGATTTAACAAAAAAAATATTTTCTTTTGATTTGTTCATATAATAATAACTTGAGAAACAATACTTGCGTAAACTATAGGAGATGTGTGCGCAGTTTAATCAATAAAAAAGTAAAATGGATCAAAGTTTTATCCAATAGTTTACATGAGAATATGTAAAGATTATGTGAGCATAAAATTATAGTGATTACGGAACGTAAATTTACACAAATATCGCTACACAGATTCAATTCAAAATCCGTGCTGAAAAGTGAAAACTGAACAAGTCCATTATAGCTCCTTTGGGCTGAGCTGGGCTTGTGAGAAACTCATTCAAAAAGAAGATAAAACATTACAAATGTAATGAGATCTCAACTAAATAACGAACCTTCATCTCTGTGCTTCAAATCCTAGCAAGCGTGGTTAGGGCTTTGTGGTTTTCTAGATTGGGCTTTCTTTTGGGCCTTTTGCTTTGTAGCTAAGGCCTGCATATTAAAAAAAAAATAATCCGGTTAAGAGAACCGAAATGAGTTGGATCGGGTTGAACTCTTCGATCGAACAACGTTGAACGTTCTCACTCTTCACGTCCAGCTCAATCTGGTAATTCTTCTTCGTCTTTCAATCTTCGATTCAGTATTCTCCATTTTTTACCCTAACATTACACACATATACATATATATATGTTGAGAAAAATTAATAATCAATAAACTTTGACTCTATTCTGACCACCACTGCTTCTTCAATTTTTATTTTGTTTCCTGTCATAATTTTTATTTTTATTTTGCATATGATGAAATTATTTTTCATTTTTTTATGTATGTTGAATTGTATGATTTCTTTACTAGTATGTGTTGTGTTGTTTATTGTGAAAATTCTATCTGCTTCATGACAGGGGTAAGATATTGGCAATAGCTGCAGCATCTTATGGGAATGGAGTATATGTATCTTCTTGTCTCCTTCTTTGTGATTGCAGTCTTAGGGTTTGTCTTTGTAATCTTCTTTGAAGCCTATAGAAGAAGAAATAACCATGAGTATGTCCTTATTTTTTTACTCATTTGGTATATGCATAAAAATGCTATATGCACATGGACTGGGATTGTTATTTTAATATTTTGATTTTGATTTTTTTTTTTTTTTTTTCAAAAGGCATGTTGAAGTTCCGGCTATTTTTGAGGATCCTAATTCATTGAAACAGGTAAATGTTTCCTTTGCATTGTGTTAGAGCTTCTCTAGGTGTGCAAGATTTTGCGAGCTATCTTTATTTAATTAATTTTTTTTTTTTTTTTTTTTTTGGGGGGGGGGGGGCATTCTTTAAGAAGTCTAATTTGGTGAGATAAATCTGGACTGATTGGCTTTTTCAACAGGTCCGTTATTGATTTGGTAAGCGAAATTGTGACTTTGGTGCTGCAAGGGTTTGGGAAAAATTTAATTTGGTTCCGTAAAATTACTTTACTGTAATTGTACAACTTATAGCAATTGAAGTTTACAGTTCTAGAGGAAACATTGCTTAACCTATGTTTCCTATCATGAGAAAACCGTGGATTCAAACTTAGATATGACAAACCAATGATAAAATCAGGAAGTGATCAAGAACTGAGAGAAATTTTATGGAAATATCAAGCGTGGCTACTTGTTAGCGTTTTCCTCACAATGGATGGAGTCAGAAACTTAAAAAGGAAAAGAAAGAAAAAAAAAGGTTCATAAAATGGTAGATAGTTATGCTTCATGAGAATGATATACGACGTAATCTCTGACCGTGTTAAAGGGAAAGATTCAATTTTTATGTAATAACTTGACATGCATCATTGATACCATAGTGCCTTAAAAGCTGAGGTTGTTGGGTATTGTGTTATGCCATAAATTTAAGATTGTTATGCTTCATCTATTTAAATTTAAAACTATGCTGAAGAATGAATCTCAACAATCTCCCCTTAATATTTGAGTGTAGCATTTATGTCAAATTACTCTCATTTCCCTTATTTCATACTCAACATCATGATTTGCACTTCTATAATTGTTTTTGATTGTTTGCAATAGTTATCCTTAAGTTAAAGAAATTGTTTCAATCTTACATGTCTTTCTCTTTCATCAGCAGTCTCTGCTCTATTATGAGCTTGACTGCTTGGCATTTTAAGGCATATCTTTATGTCCTAGTTTTATAGTTCGGTTCTGATGCCAATTTGAAGTGGAAGGATTTGTCACGACTAGTCCATTTGAAATACATCTTTGGACCACTCGCACCCAAAGTTACATCCCAAATTCCCGCACGCAGTGCTCTGACATTCTCTTATTTGGCCTTCATCGTGTATATCAGTAGACTCTACTAGAAACTGAATAGAAGCGTAATATCAGTTACATATATTTGTATCTTGTACCTCTATGTTTTTATTTTGTTTTGGGAGATTTCAAGTTAATGCATAACTTTATGAGGATAGCTCCTTGTTGTGAATTGGTTTTTGTCTGATTTTAACTCTTGCTTATTCAGGTTCCTTGCCCACACATTGTTGATCCAGCTGCAAAGTATATCTCTTTGATAATTCCTGCATTCAATGAGGAGCATAGGCTTCCTGGAGCTCTTGAGGAAACTATGAAGTAAGTCAAAGCACCCCATTTCTACCAAGATTTATGCGTTCATTGTTCACATCAATAAAAAGATTTTTGTTTGAATACAACTTTGAGTCAGTCTACTTTGGTCTTTCTGTTATGTAATTTATTGTTGTGTGTGTATTGTCAATTGCATTGAGTCTATTTGACTAGTGTCTTTGATAATTTTATATTCGATGTGTTTTTGTGTATTGATTGGTTTTTGTAAGATGGTTTATATACTTGACAGATGCCTTGTGATATGTTAACATGTGTAACGTGCCCTTCCCTCAAGGAAAAAAAGAATAGAAACAGCCCCAATAAGCAGCCAACAGGAGAGAAAAATCTGAGCTTCCACAGAGAAGAAAAATATTTTTCTTTGCAATTTCTGGATGATGATATTTATTTGAATGGGTTAGGACTTCATACATAGAGTAGTCGTGTAACTAATTACTTAGCTGCTACTCTTGTGAAGTAGCGTAGCATTTATTGTTTAAGATTGTTACTAAGAGGATAATGTTATTTATTCCTTTACTTTGTAGTTATCTTCAACAACGTGCTTTAAAGGATCCTTCATTTTCATATGAGGTACTTCCAGTTCCTTTTATTCAACAGCTTATTGTTTTTATTTATCTCTGTAACACTTTTCATTCCATTCTCTTATAATTTTGTTTTAGATTCTAGCTTTGTATCTCGAGAATATTAATATATGTTTAGAATTATAAAGAAAATTCTACATTACACCATGTGAAACAAATGATGTAATAGTAATCATCTCTCTAATGTTTCAGGTAGACATATATAAAAAAAGGCTTTACTTCACTCGTGAATTTTACTAATGTTAAGTGAAAGCACTTTCTATATCCATTCAAATCATTTTTGTCTAACATATCATGTCTGAATCTCCTTGCCCAACTTACTTTCTTCCAAACATGTTTGTAACACTCCATGGTTACACTTGCACGTTCTCTTATCAATGGACACTTGAGCAGGTTATAATTATTGATGATGGAAGTGTTGATGGGACTAAAAGAGTAGCTTTTGAATTTGTAAGGAAATTCACTGTGGACAAGGTAAGGGTCATCCTTCTTGGAAGAAATCATGGCAAGGGAGAAGCAATCAGAAAAGTGAGTTTTATTTAAACTATAATCTCTTAAAACTACTACTTATATTGAATGGCTCTGGGTCACATTGCTTGTTGATAATTAATTAAGGCTTTCTTCTTTCCTTGAAAGCATTGTATTACAGGGAATGTTGCATTCACGTGGTGAAATACTTCTTATGCTGGATGCTGATGGAGCAACTAAGGTCACTGACCTAGAAAAGCTTGAAAGTCAGGTTAATGGGATGCTATGATGTGCAGTTTTCGTGGTTCTTGTAATCAAATTTTAGTTTAAATTTCTGGTTCTGAATGTTGATATGCATTGTCTAATGTTCTTCTGCCAGATTCGAGCTGTTGCCAAAAAGGAATTTCACCATGGAGATTCAAGCGATAGTGATCCTAGCTTTAGAATATCTGATATCCCTGTAGCTGTATTTGGTTCACGAGCTCATCTAGAGGAGAAAGCTTTGGCTTCAGTTAAGTGTGGTCTCCATTCTGTGTTTTATTGTTGCAGTATGTGTAGAGCAATGTGTTGAATAATTTAGCTTAACATCTACAGAGGAAGTGGTACCGCAATTTTTTGATGAAGGGGTTTCATCTTGTGGTTCTTTTGGCTGCTGGTCCTGGAATTCGTGATACACAGGTAATTTCCTATTACAATTTATTTTTGGTCTTGCAGTGCTCTCATGACTGGCGTGTGGCTTATGTATACATAGTGACCAAAGCTTCGCCAGACATGGTTATAGTGTTGGCTAATTGTGTCGTGTCATGAATGCTTGTTGACATTAGTATGATTTTTGTCTTTTCTGTGCTTCATTACTTCTCCATTGCTCTAACTTGAGCATTTATATTTGATGTTGGTTCTTATTCTATTTGATATTGATTTTGTACATCCACAGTGTGGTTTCAAGATGTTTACTAGAGCTGCAGCCAGGAAGCTTTTTTCAAATGTCCGCTTGAAAAGGTGACATCTTAAAGCTCTATAAAATGCAATAATTTCTTAAATTTTGAAAAGGGAATAGAAAACTGATTGTTCTTACTCATATTTTATCAGTAATTATTTGTATAGTCTTTACTTTTTTCGTATAATTTTCTGTTGCTACTTTTCTTGTTTTATATAATATGTCATATTTGTATCGTTATAGTATGCTCCTGTCTATAGGTTTTGGCATGGGATAAATATTTCTGCAATCCTTTGAGTGATCCGATGAAAATTAAACACAGAAATGTCTTATTTAGCTTCTTCCCACCTACTAAATTTAAAATTATTGAGGAAGCATGATCTGAGAAGTAATGTCATGTTATTGACATTTAACCACAGTGAAAATCAAGTATCTTCTAAAAGATAGAAGGTATTCAGTTCATGTTGGGAATGTTGAATGATATGTATCTTAGTGGTCAGAAAGATAAGTTGATATTCAAGATAGGGTAGTTTTGTTCAATCAAGCTTTCTGCATATTTATACATACTGTATACGGTCACGTATATGGTGAAAACTATATACTTTTCTATAATAGCCTTTGCCATTCTCTGTAGGTGGTGCTTTGATGTTGAATTAGTCTTTCTGTGCAAATGGTTTGGGATCCCAATTTCAGAAATTTCTGTGAATTGGTCCGAGATTCCAGGATCTAAGGTGAATCTTCTGAGTATACCTAACATGCTTTGGGAGCTTGTGCTCATGTCTATGGGATACAGGACTGGTATGTGGAGAATTTCTAATTCTACCTGAGCTTCAATGATAAATTTCAACTGGGAAGAAAAGCGGCATTTTCCTATCAAAAGAAGACTGACCTCTTATCTGAGAACCTAGATTATACTCCCATGCCGGGCTTGAGGGACAATAATGCTATATTCAAATTTTGTTGGACTAACCATAACCTTCAGGATTTTGCCGTTCAGGTTGGGGTCATGGAGGCTTTGGTTTTTTACTGTTGCTATTTCTTCTTGGTAGACATATTCAACAATTCATACTGAGAAAAGCTCCTGATCACATTAGTTTGCATTTGTTTTCTTACGCAACCAAAATATTATATAGATTACTTTTCATTCCTTTGTTGCCATTTGAAAGACATTATCTAACACTGGTAAGTCGTTGATGCATTTTGCACATCATCCTGGAAGTAAATGGTATGCCTGCCTGTTAATACTGCGTTAGCAAAGCCGCGTACTCTGCCTATAAAACAAGAAGCTGAAACCTTTTTGTTTTTGGTTGTTTGTTGTTGTCGTTTTTTCTTTATTTTTCTTTCTGTTCTTATGCTTTGGTTGCAAATTGTATAATACATTGACATTGAAATACGTCCTTTTTGCTCATTTCTCGCACCTCTTACACTTATAAACTGAAGATTGACAATAAAAACTACGAAGTTCCTACATGTAAATATGTAGTATTCCATGATTGTAGTGTGACCATTTCATAACTTTCTCAATTGCACATCGTCTAGAGGCACCATTTCACATGTGCAATGTGGAAAACCTTGATTTGTTTGTTTATTTAAGGGGCCAGTTGTGAACGGAAACTAAAACATTGCACATCCGTGGGATTTGAGACTTAAGAGCAAGCGTATCTTAAAAGAAAAACAAATAATTATCGTAATATTGTCTTTGAGTTATATAGTGCACAGAAAGATGTATCTTTAAAGGAAAACAAAATTTTCTCCGAGACAAGGTTGAAGAATAATTTTTTTTAAAAAAAAAATCTGCAAAATCAATGGATTTTTATATTTTAACCATTCTAGGCCACTAGTTTCGTGTAACCCTTTAAACATCAAGTATTGTCAACCAATCCATAGATTGAGAAATTGAGATCAACAGTATTCTGTAAGTCTACCTGGTCAAAAATTTTCTTAAGGCACTCTTGTAAACGACATGACCTTAACGACAAGGAGGCTTCAGCAAAACTTGCCTTTGAATTATCATGCTTACATTATTCCTTATCTTTTCCTATTCACAAGTTAGGCTTATTCTACCTCTATTACATATGCAAATCCACTTTAAGAAAAAATATAAGTGCTTTTGGTAAATGGAGCAGTTGCACTTGTTATCTACACAGATACGATTATAGATATATAACAAAACTAATCTTCAGAATCCTCATCATCATTATCCTTAAAATTCGTCCAAAGAACACTGCAAATATGAACTCTCCTCTCATCCATGAAATCAAAGGACAAGCCTTTCGGTTCTTGAGGGAGAAAATTAAAACTGCAAGGCTAGTGCTGACAGATGTTACACCAGTACAATTGTAAGTCTTTCTTTTACTTTTTTCTGAGTTTTCATCGCAACTCAATCATGCTTCAAAGTTATTGATTATTTTGAAAAAATAAAATGTAGTCCTTCTCACAGTATAGCTGAAAAGCTAGTTAAAATTCTTTGTGAAGGAAGGAATGATATCACCTATATTTACTTCAACAAAGTAACAAAAGATTCATAAACACATTTTGCAATAGAAGTCCTCGTTAATACAAATTCCTATTTGTTAATGTCAAGATCAAGAGAATTGGTTAGAAAATGTGAAACTATTTAGTAGGAAGGCCATACTTTTTATTTTTAATTTTTTTGTGTGTAATTATATGATTCCATTTGGGAACAATTGAATACTTGATTTTTGATATGTTTCACATTTCTTTTGTGTAACTGCGGCTTAAAGAATGACAGAAGAAGCTACAAATGAGAATCCATGGCCACCAGACACACGTGCCTCAAGAGTAATATCGCGTGCTGCCTTTGAAGTCGATGAATACGAGAGAATTGTGGACATTTTACATCAGAGGTTTCCAGTTTCTTATATACTGATTTGATTATGCTGTTCTGTTCTCAAAGACATTGCTCGTAAAGTTTAATTTTTCTTTTACTTTTTGTGTGTGGAGAAAACAGGTTGTCGAAATTTGATAAAGGGCATTGGAGAACCTCATACAAGGCTCTAATTTTACTTGAACATCTTCTAACTCATGGGCCTAAGAGAATATCCGAGGAGTTTCAATTTGATATAGATGTTATTGAAAAGATTGGACAATTTCAGTATATTGATGAGAAAGGGTAGGTGCAATCTCAAATATATATATATATATATATATATATATATATATATATATATAAAAAGTAGGATCCTTTGACACCGGTGTCAAAGGTGAAATTTGACACTTCCTCTGAGAGCTATTAGATCAAAAAAGATCAATAGTATCACATTCTTACAAATCAGAGTCGTTGATCTTTTTTTATTTAACGGCTCTCAGATGAAGTGTCAAACTTCAAATTTGACACCGGTATATATATATATGGGTTCGACACTTCTGCAGCGACAACAGGTGAAAATTTTGCAGCAAACATATTTACATTAGGATTCGCATGTGGATCCTGGTATTAAAAAAAAAAATCAGCATCCGCATGCGTATTCTGGTCTTTTATCTGTTGCTACAAAATTTCTCATCTACAACAACATAACAAGTATTAAATCCTATATATATATAAAGGGTTTAGTGTGTGTCATTTAAAAGGATACAAGTTGTGTCCTTTTAATGACTTACACAGAGTATGACATGTGATACTCTGTGTAATTCTGAAAAGTTGTTTTTTTTTTCACTTTACACATCAACGATGTGACTGAGGAGAGAGAAAAAAAAAATAGCTTTTTTGATTTACACAAAGTTTGACATACTTTGTGTAAATCATCTAAAAAGACACAAGTTGTGTCCTTTTAAATGATAGTCTTTTTTCCCATATATAAATTGTCACCACAAACTTTGTTGCATGAATTTAGTGATGACCCTTTTGTTACATTTCATTTTACAGGTTCAACTGGGGTTTGAGTGTTAGAAAATTATCAGAGAGAATATTAAAGCTCTTAAGAAACAAGGATTTTCTCAAAGAAGAAAGAGCAAGAGGAAGTCATCTTTCTCATGGGATCGAAGGTTTTGGAAGTTTTAGCCAACGAAGCTCAGCAATAGATGAAAGGTTGAGTGACTTACCTTCTACGATGTATAAGAGAAGTAATTCTTACTATGATCATAGCCAACATGAAGCGTATGATTTCACAAGCTTAGGAAAGAAGCTCAATGCTGCAAATGGAAATAAAAGAGAGCAACAAGTTCACAGAAACAAGGATTCAAAGCCCCTTAAGCAAGAAAATAATTCAAATTCCGGAGAAGAAGACATAGAAGAACATCACCCCTTTGTTGACCAAGAGAAACTGACTACAACATCCCTGCTTTCTGTGTAATGATGTAACAAGAATTTACATAATATAGCACTTAAACTACTTAATTTAAGCGAAGAGAGGACTACGGAGAACTTTGAATCAAAGAAAGAGAGTGTAAATATGTACAAAGTTATATTAAGATTTGTGATCCTTGAAGTCGTTGTAAATAGTTAATACCTATAATGCACATACTATTTTAATCGAGTACAATTCCTTTATCCATGACATCAGTCAAAAGAACATATGTAGATAATTAAAAAAAGTGATTTCAAAGGAAGCAAGAATGAGCACCGTAATTGGAGCCACAAAATTTACATTACAATGTGAGTAAATTAATTTTGTTGGAAATATTCAAGTGTGAGTAGCACTGAAGTCCCATATGGATTAAACATGAAATAAGTGAGAATCATATAAGTGCGAAAGACCCATTAACCTATAACTTTAAAGTTTTGGGTTGAGATATGACGTTAGCTTCCCGTACCATTCTCAATAGACTTATCAGTAATAATAACAGCCTAGCTCCGAGAAGCCAAGCATGATGCAAAAGTTAACTAAGAAGAAGTAATGATTCAAAATGAATCTCAACAACTTACCTTTCGCATATGAGTTCACCATTTATGTTGAATAGCTGTCACTTGCATTGTTTCACATTCAACATCATGATTTCTATCATTGCTTTTGAGTTTTTGGAAAAGTGTTCCTTAAACTTGTTGAAAGTATTCGAATCTTAGAAGTCTTTCTCTTTCATCACTCATCAGAAATCTCTACTCCATTTCGAGAAGGAGTGGTTGGCATTTTATGACATGTACTGAATATTAGTCTACGATGGCTTCACAATCAGTTCTTAAAGTAAAGTCTCTTTTACAATAAAAATCTCAAATGCATCTAATCCTTTGATTACCGCTTCTATTTCGTAATCGATAGCACTAAGACTTTTTACTATATGTTTTCCACTAGCATACCTGCATATGTGTTCTGATTCTTTTTATGAATATTTATTAGGCTTTTTTCTTAACTTAGCTCCCCGTCCTAATTTTGATCCATCTGTTACTACTATTCTATAATATGTATTTAATGGTAATGCTAAAGGAGGTAAATTCTTTACCAATTCTTTTATTTGTCTAATTGCTCTAGGATAATTTCTTGGTCTCATCTGAAAATTGTAATCAAGAATTAGTTATAGTTCTAGATAAATAATTAGCTATATAATTATCTTCTCCTTTTATATGTTCAATGTTAATTTAGGATTTATGTTCAATTAGCAGACAAAACATAGAGGACAGAATCTAGCAGCAGACGGTACCAGAGAATCTTGTCAGAAACACTTAGGACTAAAGCAAGTGTCGGCAAAAATTTTAGCCACAAAATGTGTTAAAAGAATCTTAAATAGTAAATGTCGGCAGGTTATTCTGTAATTATTAGTGTAATAAGATTGAGTTTTTTTTTTTTTTTTTAAAAAAGGAAGTGGGTTTGTCAAAGAATCCTTCTTTTAAATCTGATGTGACGATGGAGCCCAATGTGCACCCAACTCAAGAAATAAGAGATTCTCCATTGTATTTTAATTCCGTGTTTCAAATCCAGGTCTGTAAATAGATGCAGCATAGTTGTAAAAGATATCGAGTGAAGTGGTCGCAAGTGTTCTATATTTTAAGGGATTATCTCTCTAGCTTTTCTAGTCACTTGGAAGGTTAACAAAATTATTCTCCAAAGCCTATATAAAACTGTCCCATGAATAACAAGCTTGGTTATCTTCCATGAGAGGCTAGAATAATGTGATCAACATATATTGATGTTCTTTCTTACATTTATTTTGCACACTTCTGGAACCTCTTATACCTATCAGCTGAAGATTCACAGTAAAAAATAAAATAAAATGAAACTTGTGCATATAAATATATATTATTCCAAGAATGTAGGATGACCATTTCATAAATTTTTGAAATGGTCTAGAGCTATTTGCATATATATATATATATATATATATATATATATATATATATATATATATATATATAATAACCTTATTCCTCAGTTTACAAGTACTTTCTTTGAACATATCTGCAAAGACAAGGCATATAAATAAACTTTAAAAAGTCAATTACATGTCATATGTTACCTTTTAAAACAGTTTTCTACAATCACAATTTCCAAATGGATCCCAGTTCATATATACAAGGTGTTTCTTCCCCATTTAGTGGCATGTTAAGTGAAAGTCCTTACACAATCAAAAGAATTATTTTCAGCTATACAAATGTTTCTGAAAATGGCACTAAACTCTATATCTCTACTATTCTTTCATTTAACATTTCACGAGCTCCAGGGCACTCAGATCAATAAGCGTTGGTAGTTGGGTTCATACACATTGAATTAATTAAAATATATAAATATAAAATAAAAACTATGCAATAAAATTGCAGGAAAATAAATCTTTCCTAAGCCAATTATTAGGTAACGGAGAACCTTGAAGAAAATCATTTCTCTTAGGCCTACACTTGGCTCAACTCCAATACATTGACCCATCAAAATAGCCCAAATTTTATGTACTCTCTCCTTTCGGATTTTCCGTGGACGCAAATAGCAAAAACGTTGTTTTAATTTGTTGTTTTACTACGAATTTTTAATTAAAAAATAAATATTTTAATCTATTTAAGATTAACTCTTTCATAAAATAAAATTTAAATTATATATACAAAAATTTAAGTAAATATGTCCTTAAAATATAAAAGTAAATGAGTTTGGTGTTTGTCATTTTAAATGACATAAATTATGTCATTTTAGGAGAAAGATAGACACAGAAAAATAGAAATCATGAGAGAGAAAAAGTGGGTGATTTTTTTTAATTTAAAATTTAAATAAAATTTATTTTTCTGTGTCTATCTCTCTCTTAAAAGAAGAGAGTGTTATTTACAAAAAAAAAAAAAAAAAAAAAGGAAGAGAGTGTTATGTCATTTAAAATAACAAATATTTTTCCCAAAGTAAATATATATTAACTATTAAATCATAACAAGTTAAAATCACGTTTACATTCTTATTTCTTACTCACATTCTTACTTTAAAAAGCCTTATCCGAATTATAGAAGGTCCATCCAAGATTAAATAAAACAATAAAAACATAAAAGATACAACTGAAAAATTAGTAATGGAGGAGCCAAATTAAATAAAAAAAAGGGCAAAACAAATAAAAATAATTTCACCCGTTATAAAATTGAATAGTCCTAAATAAAATAAAATGAAGAGGGTAATTGCAAAGAATTCAGTGGGACGATGAGAATAAAAAATTGCAAATAATATTTCCCTACAAAGAAAACTAGTATCACATGATTTGCTCATAACATCAGTTAAAAGAACAAAAATAATTTTACAAAAAATAAAAACATTACGAATGAAGGAAAAGAACTTTAAATTACAGCTGGGATAAGAGCTGCAAGATATATAATTTGCAGTGAATTAACTAGGAATTGCATTCGGTAAGTTAAATTTGTAACTCAAGGAGATCAAGGACTATAATTTTGCATATAAATTCAAGGGCACACGAGTAGTTTAATAATCCCAGCTAATTCATAGGCAGAATGAACCAGTCAAAAACTTATAAATAGAGAAAAGAACTGGACCATTTTGAAAAGAAAAGAAAAGAAAAAAACAAAAAACAACTCCTCGCCTTCTGCAAATCATCACTCCCAACATAAATAATAATAACATCAACGGATAACAAAAGCTAGAATGAAAGGGTTTCAAGCTGCACTGCTTCCCAAGGAATCATAACAGTAGTCTTTCTTTCCCTTCAATAACCCTATTTCTCAAAACAGTTTTAGAAGCATTTTCTGTGCACAATTGATGGTCCAGACTCATCATATTCTGCCTTTGCAATCCACATCTGCATTCAAGAATAGTTTGTCTCATTAGCAATCATATATTTTTATTTGAACGCATCTCACAATAACATTCCAATAAAGAGATAAGAATGAAGGAACAGAACAAACCTGCTGGAAGGTGCTAAGGGATGCCAAGATAGAACCACCAATCCAGACACTGTATTTTCTCTCAGGTGGCGCAACCACCTTAATCTTCATGCTGCTGGGAGCTAATGCAGAAATTTCCTTGCTCATTCTATCAGCAATGCCTGGGAACATGGTTGTTCCTCCTGAAAGGACAATGTTACCATACAGGTCTTTCCTGATATCAACATCACATTTCATTATGGAGTTGTATGTTGTCTCATGAATGCCTGCTGCTTCCATTCCTATCATGGATGGTTGGTACAGAACCTCTGGACATCTGAAACGCTCATCACCAATAGTGATTACCTGACCATCGGGCAACTCGTAGCTCTTCTCAACGGAAGAGCTGGTCTTGGCTGTCTCCAGCTCTTTCTCATAGTCAAGGGCAATGTAAGCCAGCTTTTCTTTCACATCCCTCACAATCTCACGCTCTGCTGAGGTGGTAAAAGAATACCCACGTTCAGTCAAAATTTTCATCAAGAAATCAGTTAGGTCACGACCAGCCAAGTCAAGACGAAGGATGGCATGTGGGAGGGCATAACCCTCATAGATAGGTACAGTGTGGCTGACACCATCACCAGAATCCAGCACAATACCTGCAGAGAATAAATAAAAGTCAATTACAGGACATGTGATAGCTTCAAAACAGTTTTCTACAATTTCAAAATGCATCCCAGCTCACACAAGGTGCTTCTTCCCCCATTTAGTGGCATTGAGTGAAACAATACCCAATCAAAAGAATAATTTTCAGTTATACCAATGTTTCTGAAAAAGGCACATAAAACATAGAGGCTTTCTTGATGCACATGGATGTCGTCATTTGGCAATCTCAATCTAAAAACCTCCAGGTAAGTTCAAATTATATAAACCGAACCTAATCAAACAATTCAAAAATTGCTTACCAGTTGTACGACCACTTGCATAAAGTGAAAGAACAGCTTGAATGGCTACATACATAGCAGGGGTATTAAAAGTCTCAAACATGATTTGGGTCATCTTCTCACGGTTAGCCTTGGGGTTAAGAGGAGCCTCAGTTAGCAGAACTGGATGCTCTTCTGGGGCAACACGAAGCTCATTATAGAAGGTATGATGCCAAATCTTTTCCATATCATCCCAATTGCTCACAATTCCATGTTCAATGGGGTACTTGAGAGTCAAAATACCACGCTTAGACTGTGCCTCATCACCAACATATGCATCTTTTTGGCCCATGCCAACCATCACACCAGTGTGACGAGGACGACCTACAATGCTGGGAAACACAGCACGTGGGGCATCATCTCCAGCAAATCCAGCCTGAAAAGTTACATTGCAATTAATTTTCTCAAATTCACAGAAGTAAGATTAATGTAAAATGAAATTCCAATAAAACCTACATATGTATCTCATTGGGTAATATTTTTAAACAAACTTAATATAAAAGAAGATCCATGCTGCACCTTAACCATTCCTGTTCCATTGTCACAAACAAGAGGTTGAATATCCTCAGCTTCTGCCATCTTCTACTATCTGCAGGATAAAATGACGAATACTCTGTAGATGTTCACTTTTTCTAACTTTCTATAAACACAGCCAATAATAGAGCAAAGGGGAATTTCAAATGCAAAAAGACCTACAATAATCTTTTTTATTTTCCCCACTTCCTCAACTTAATATGACAAACTGACAAAGCAATATCCCGAAGCCAAGAATTCCTTGATAGGATATCATAATTAAACCATGAATTTAGCCAAATCAATTTCAATAATGGTTATAGTTTACAAACAAAAAAGATGTCCAAGGATTCACACAAACGGTGAGCTAAGCAGTTACAACCATGCATAACACAAAGGATAAACATAGATGCTTTAATCTTATTCTTATACATCCCCATCTTTTTCTTTTTTTTAATTTTTCCATTCCATTGAGCATATTAGTCCTACTACAGCAATTTCAAATTTACATCCAATAAGTTGACCAAAAAACTACTGTACTGGCATATCATGGACACTGCCGCAAGCAATAAACAACTTGGGTAAATGACCATCAGATAGATACTGAACTTTGAAAAGAAACTAGTATATCTAATTGCATAATACACACAAATGTGTTCCAACATAGTAACACAGATACACGTACCAACTCCACCACTGACACCCACCCATACATACATCCTACATTCGTCGGACAAGGGCAAAGAGGTTGGCAAAAGAATAAAAAGTTGATTAAACAACACCGTGAACCATAATATTTGATTGTTCAGAGGGTGGGGGAGCACTCAGAACGTTGAAAATATCCAAAGAAAGGGTTCACAAGCATAACATTATTACATTTCCTTTTCAGTATCTCTTCTTTCTCTTTTGAGAGGAAGGTTCAGCAATGTCACCTTCATTCCAACTATTGTTAATTAATTGCATCATGTCAAAAAGTAAACAGCAAATCATTCTGTTCTCTCAATCCAAAACAACAAATTCAGATTCTTTCCCTACTCATCTGTAAACAACTTTTAACAGAACATGCTTAACAATGATAGATCCATCCTCACTGACCAAAAATCTCAAAAACACAAACACCAATAGTGAATAATGTAATAATTCAATTTTAAACCAATCAAAAATATTTTTTTCTTCAAAGTAAAAAAAAAAAAAATTAAAAAAAAATACCCACCACATAAAAACACCCAGATCGATCAATTAAAAACTACACAGATTATAAAAAATGAATGAATCATAAAAAAACCATAAATCTAACAAGAATCCAACCCTCTAACAGCTAATTTCCTTTCTTATTTAGAAAAAAAAAAATAGAAAAAGGAAAAATGATAAATTTCTCACACACAATTGAATAAATCAAAATCCAAGAATGACCCATTTGAAATCCAACTACCCAGCAACCAATAAAACCAAAACGAAGAATGATCCATGCGAAATGATAAAAAAAAAAACTCAAAATTCAAAGCTGCAAATTCAAAAGGGAACAGATCCAAGCGAAACCGAAACGGGATCGAGGAATAGAAACGGACCTTGGAAAGGGAAATGCCAAAAGTGATGGAAGGCAAAGAGCTGAAGAGAATGCACAGAGGTAAGAGGAGAAGAAGAGAGACCAAATGAGGATGAAGAATGAGTTTCAATATAAAAAAGCAACAGATGCCATGCTGACCGTTCGATTCTTATGGTGTTTGGCTTGCCCCTATTCCTATTATCGTAAAGTGTTGTTAAATAGCAATAGTTTGACACATTTTTTATACCGTGTGGTTCGTGAATATTAAATCGAAACATGTAGAAATATAATAAAAAATATTTTAAAATATTTATTTAATTATTTCTTTTATTATACAAATTTTTTATATTGATTTTTGAGTTTAAATCACCAATCAAATCTTTATTTTCTTTAATTTATAGGAACAGGGCAAACCAAACACCGGAAGAATTGAATTAGACACAAACAATAGAAATCATGAGGGATACAACTTTTACTTAAAATAACATAATTTTATGTTATTTAAAAGAACAATTATTTTTTATTTCCTTATTAATAATAATATTTTAGATTTTTTAATTTAAATCATAAATCAAAATTTTTTATATTAAAATTAAAAATTTGGATTTAATTTTCATATCATATATACGTATTGTATCATACGATACAGTATCGTATCATCCGATACAAATCCTTTTCTGATACACCCTACGATACATATCGTTGTGCTTGTGAATCGTATCGTGTATCGTACGATACTGATAACTATGATTATCATAATAATTATTTAAGATATTAATTTTTTTATATCAACTTAATATCACTTTGACATGAGTTGGTTCCCCAATATTAGGGGTGTTTGCGGTCTGGATTGGATCGGTTTTGTAAGCAAAAATCATCCGATCCAATCCCTTCGGTTTGATTATATAATCATTCATTCGGTTTCGATTCTTTTTCAAATCCGATCCGATCCGATCCAATCCAATTTTTTTCGGTTTGGATTGGATCGGTTTTCGGTTTTTTAAAAATCCTAAAATTTATTTCATAATTATTGTGCAAATAACATCTTTTGTATATATTGACTTTGTAAATATTTTTTTTTTTGAAATACAAAAGCATTACTAAATTATAATATAGTTTTCTTTTTTTGACAATGAGATATGAAGCTCTACAAAGATAAAATTTTGTTGACGAAATGCGACTAGATTTTTTCTTTGGTTTAGTTGATGGGTTAATGGGTTTTGGATTTAGAAATTTTTGGGCTATGATTGGAGAAAGACCCAAGTAGGTAGAGAAAAATTAATATATCGGATCGGTTTTCATCAACCCATCCAAAAACCGATCCAATCCAATTAAAATTTGCGGTTTTTTTTCGGTTTTTGGTTTTTCGGTTTTCGATTTATTCGGTTATTGGTTTTTTGGTTCGGTCACCGCGGTTTGAATCGATTTGGATCGGTTGATAAACACCCCTATCCAATATTAGTAGCTTTTAATTCTTTTAGCCGTGACTAATCCTTAGTCGGGATTTAGTCATAATAAAAACTCTTTTACTAATATATTAAAATATAAATAGCTTAAAAACATTTTATATTTATACTTAAAAAAATATATATTATATTGATAATGAGTTAAAATTAAATTAAAAAAATTTGAAAAAACCATAGCGATTCTCAAACCAATAATGTAATTCCCAACTCAAATGTGAAGGGTAGTTATAGAGTCGGCAAAACGGACTAACCCAGCTCGACCCTGCCCAATCCATTTGCAACTCGAAAAAGAAATGAGTCGGGTTAGAGTTGACTCGCGGGTTGCCTCGAAAAAATAGAAAAAAAAATTAAAATTGTCAAACTTATCCAGTACATGTGATGAGAAAGCTAAGGAAATGATTTTCATTTGATATAAGATATTTACTGCAAAAGAAAACACTTGATATAAGATATTTAGCTGTTGAGTATAATTAAATTATCATATTACAAGACCAAAACTACAACTAAAAATACATCACAAAAGGTTCAATACTTCATTAAAAGTTTCCAAACAAAATATTTCAAGTCCAAGCAGCGAAGGCAACAACGACAAAGAATGCGTTTAGGATTTATTTTTTAGGTTTCTACTTTTTTTGAACACATCTGACCCCCTTATTTTTTTAATAAATAAAAAATGAATAGCTCGCGAACTAATTTGCGGATTGGCTCAATTTTTTTTGAACTGTCTCGAATTGTCAGCTTATTTTCTTGTCAACCCAACGTGGCTCAATGTTGGTTACGAGTCACTTTTGCCATCCCTAGGTAGTTATAACAAATAAAATTACTTGTTAATTTTATTAATAAAGAAAAAATTTATTAAAAAAATTATAAATAAATATTACTGGTTAATGATATATTACATTTATATAGCTTCATTTATAGTTAAAATAAAAATGGCTACATTACCTTTTGTAGAGTAGTTATGTGATGTCATATGTGTAATAGTTGAGTAGCTAATAATTGTAAACAAAATTTTATATTATTCATGCAGTTAAAGAAGAAATACATAAATATTCATTGAATAGTTGTTTATTTTCACTAGTGGCTAACTATAATAAATACTTTTATTTTTATAAAGATGGAGAAAGTTATTAAAAAACATTTAAATGACTATTATTATTTGTTGGGTAGTTATTTGTTCTTTTAAGTAGTTAACAAATAAGGCCGTTATATTTATCATTCATTTAGATTTATCACTCTTATTATTTTTTAATTACTGTTAAATTAGATTTAAATCAATTGCTGTTAATTTTTTTTCACTCTCTTTAATCTCATCCGTTTTTAAAAAAATATTCTATATATTAAATCTATGAAATTAAGAAGAATCTTGGAAATAACTATTGCTTTTTTATATACTTTTATTTGTTTCTAATGAATGATTATTGCTTTTACTAAAGATATTTTTTTCATTAAGTAAAATATAATAAATCCGCTCTCCAAATAATTTTGTATGATTTTTTAATTACTTAAAATTTTTATTTTTATTTTTATTCAATCGGCTTGGTGCTTTTTTTCTTTTTGCAAAATTAATTACGAGGTTAGAGCCAAAATTGAAAAAAAAGAAAGAAAAAAGAAACATTGGACGAAAATAACAGCATAACTTTCGGACACAATGCATGAAAAAACAAGTAACAACAGATTGAGGAAGAGAAATTAGCGCGGGTACAACAGAATATGTATATATTTAAGGGGAAAAATTCATTTATAAACTGTTTTTACAAATTACATCAAGTATGACCGGTCATAAATTCTTAATTGAAATATGACATTGACAAGTCATATTTAGCGTAATTTATAAATAATTTTTTTGTAAATATAATATTTTTCTATATTTGAAGGATTATGATAATTTGAGAAAGAGTAGAATTTGTTTGAGTCAATGTCTGTAATAAATAGCCTATTCTTTCGCTCATACTTATAAAAAAGAACGGACTACAAAAAGTTAAAGCACTCCTTTCCTCTAATGATGGAGTGGCAACCATGAAAGATTCGAGGGACACCATTTGTTTAGGATATGCAACCTTTTTTTATGATCAATTTTCACTTTATAGTATCCACTTTACAATAAAATATGCATGGATTTTGCAACCAGCACACCACAAATAGTTGTTCAGCACTAAAGAAATCTTCGATCCTAACTGAATATGCTCTGTCAAGTCATTCTATTGTAAGACTGCCAGCAAATATTTGAAAGGGATGGGATTGGAAAACAAGAGGGAGGAAGAGCGAAGCATTAATTGCCAGCAAAGCATTGTGTTCAAAATAAAAAGATAGAATAAAAAGAAAAAGGAATGGATATTATAAACATATATTACTAGTTGTGGTCTTACAAACGGTGACTCGTAGATGAACCCAGTATTTGCCTTTATATGGTTAGTTAGTTTTTCAGACTTTAGGCATGTCAAGATCAATTATTGGACGATTTATTGGAGGTTAAGCACAAGTTCGAGTACCATATAGGTATATAGCCAGCACAAAAGTGTTTCATTTCTAAGTTGGTGAAACTCTATCAAGGCGCGGCGCAAAAATTACATTAAATATATTGATACTAAACTATTAGGGCTTGTTTGGTGGACATGATAGGATAAGAGTAGGATATGATATGGAGCTGATAAGGATAGGATATGATATGAGGCTGATAAGCCTATATCATATCCTGTGTTTGATGAGCACCTGATTAGCAATATGATAAGATTACGTAGAAGGAGAAAGGAAAAAGAAAAAAGAAAATACAATGCAATAAATACAAATATATTGAGTAGGTGGAGATATATTGGGTAGCGTGGGAATTTATTGGATATTTAATATTGATATCCTATCCTATTGAATTCTAACTCAGCTCCTCCCATAGGATAAGAAATCATGCATTGGATAGGATAAAATGAGATAATAGGATAAGCTAATCATATCCTACTAACCCACCAAACAAGAGATAAGAGTAGGATATGATAAGTTATCTTATCCTATTTTCCTTATCAGGTGCTCCAAACGAGCCCTTATAGTGTATTAGGTTTTATTAGGTTCATAAGGAGAGTCATCAAGTCACTAGTGGGGAGGAGTTTGGGTAAATTGTATTAGGTTGTGTATTCAATTACCACTTATATCAAAAGAAGAAGAAAAAGGGGAATCATGGTTACGGTCTTACGAGAGAGAGTAGATCTGAATTTGTAGGTAAATTTTGATTATGTAACAAATTGAAAGATAATATGTAAAAAGTGACTCCTCTATAACAATTAGGAGTATTTATATGTGAAAAAGATTTTCTAACGATGAGTGAGAGAGTCATAATCATTTTTGTCCTTGTGGATTTCACAAAGTGTGAGAAACATTCTTAACTTATGCATGAAATGCACAATGAAATTTAGTATGGTGAGATAACATTTGTCTTACTTTAGTGACGAAGAGGTGTGACGTTAAAGGTTAGACCAATAAAATAGACTTATGTAGTAACAATAAACTAGGCTTGTGTCGTAACAGTTACCAACAATATTTCAAATATCAGTTAATTCAAATGTATTTGTTTTGAGATTACATTCATGATTCAGAGTATTCGGATCCTGAATTTTATTGTTATGCAGGATATAATAAGATATTGCAAGAATTGCAGCGAAAATTCAAACAGCTGATTCGAACTTTTAAGCTCTTTTTTTTTTTTTTAATTAGGACTTATATTGTGCAATATATAAAATAAGATCGGGTGTTATAGATTATAGAATGAAATTGAAAATATAAGTTGATAAACCCGTAAGGTTCATTTTGCTCATTATGTTAGATCTCATTGTAAATGTTTATACAATAGAATACATACCATCTTATAGAACAAAGTTGATATTTAATAAACTCAAACAGCAAAGGTCATATTTATATTCAATAGAAGGCAATACAGTTTTTTTATCAGATTAGAGATGTGTACTCCTTACTTTTAATTATTAAAATCAAAGCTTTTGGACGGACAGTTGAAAGAATTTGCTTATGTTTAGATTAATTTATTTTGAGTACTTTATAATTAATTTATTTTCTTGGTTTGGGCTTGTTCGTACTCGTATCATTGAGCCAATTTCCAAGTAAGCAACAGCAAAAAGGCAGACTTAAAAAGTATCATTGGGCTTGCTTGGACTTTTAAAGTTGGTGGGAACAAGTTTGTAGTTATATTGTGAAGGGGAACGTAGCTAACTAACCATTTAACTTTCCACAAGTTTATAGAATGCACCCCTTTCTCAACCCCACAAGTACTGGAAATCTGGAATAAAGCTTGACCTTTACATCACACAACATGTGACCACTTTTTCTTAAAATTAAAATTTCACCAAATAACAACTATGATTAGTTATGGGACATTCATAATAAAAAGCTTTGAATAACAACCAAATGATATTCAATATAAACACATGAGCGTATTAAACCCATCAAACACCGCGCCTTATATAAATTTCTGTTGCATTAATAGTAGTTATAAATACTATCCATCATTTCTAGTACAATCAATCCTTATCATGTACGACTGTATAAATAGCTGATATACAACCAAATATTTACTTAACTAATACAACTTTTTCCCTCAATTGAAACCGTGACACACTGACACTATTACGATTTAGAGATGATAGGGATGGTATAGTGGTACAAAAAAGTCAAGGAGCGAGTGAAAGCTTAAGTAATAGTCTTTTCTATTTATAATTATAAAAATTATTCCTATGACATGAGAACATAAGAGGGTATTTAACTTCTCCTTTTTAAATTTGCCTTGGTATTTTTAATATTGCATCCAAACACACTTAAAAACATTTAGAAGTACTTATTTGTAAGAAATAAGTTTTTTCCTTTTTAATAAAGAAAAAAAAAAGTGAATTATAAATGACTCTAAATATGCTGAACATCTCTAGAAACTTCCTTATTTTTCCCTGGTCACAAGAGTGCTGATCCCTAACACATCAGTCCTTACAAACAAAATTCCAAAAAAAGAATTAAAATTCTCCATCCGAACTAATATAATATAAAGTAACAATATGAAGAGAACAATCCTCTGTATCTCAGGCTTACTTGCAGACATAGTAAATTTTAGGCCTTAAAACTAGGCCATCTTCATGATAATAAAAAAAGAATTCACAAACGGGGAGATGGTCATTCTTTGTCATCTAGTTTCTGCTTGGTCCCATCAACTCCATCAGCTGGAGGCAATGTCTACATAGGACAAAATATGAATTAATTAATAACATTATGGCAAAATGATCTATAGGTCCTCTGAAGTGCACCCTACGCACTTTAGGAAGTAAAGTGCAAGTGATAAATGTTGATAAGAAAATCAAAAGAATATACTGGATACATATCCATGACTTGTTATTTAAGTGTTGTATTTTATAACATTATAACGAGTTTATTATTTCATCAATGGTTTAGTACTTTACTCTTTACAACGCAATGCGCAGAGAATTAAAATTCAAAATGAAAATATATGACATGATATGAAGCTTGAAGAAAAATATGAAAGTGCAATTACAAATGCAATATATCGCAGTGTTTGGATATAATGACTTGAATTTATGACAGTATGGACTTTCATGTAATGTTTGAGATATATTGTCCAGGTGGTGAAACGTATCTAACATGTATATGAAATCATGCAAGTTGAACTCAAGTTACTGTACAATATGCTCCCCTGACCCTCTCATGTAAGGATGGGCAATATCGTCACAAAAAATAGTTAACAATGGTCTCAACTGTGCATTACATTCGCAACATAAGTGAAAAGTTATTTCACAATTTGAAAGAAATGATATTTCAAATTATATAGGTTTCAATCAAGTACATAATCTCCCTATATGTTATAATAAACATGAAGCATTCAAAATTCCAACGTCAACAAATAAAACACATACCTTATGCATATTTAACTCATAAGTCACAACAATGAATCAAAAATATGCTAAAGAGAAGGCCATGAACGTGTTAGCAAGAAAAAGCTTACAAGATTAGGCTTATAGATATTGTGGACAACAGAGGCACCCGCAAGAAGAGAAAAGATAACGACCACACAGGACCAAGCCAGTGAAGGAGTCCCAGTCGGCTGCCTTCCACCTCCAAATTTTCTATTCATCCTCACAAAATGTTTCTGACTTTTTGTGTCACCCAAAATGATTTAAATACAAACTTGGGCAAAGCAACACCTTCAAATAATCAGAAACAAAACAAGCAAATAAATTGGCAATACTGATTACTTACCTTTGAGTAATTATATATACAGAGAAAAATAACTCGTTCAATTCATTCACCCAAGTAAATGCAGTTAACAACACACAGAATTGCTAAATATTAGAAAAACCTTGTATTGAAGAAGCCCAAAAGTTAGTATTTAGTGTGTCCATCAGGGCATGTATCTGTGTGGACATATAGCATAGAAGGACTAACCAAATTATTTCCACTTTAAATACTAAATACCATAATCATTGATATAAGTATATAACACACAGTGGGATCCAACTTATTGGAATACAATGCTTAATCATTCAAAAAATGACCAAGTCATTCACCTAAGTCCCCTATCAATAGTTAAACCCAAATCAACAAAATGATTGGATCATGTTAGGGAAAGCTCAATCAACATCCACGCTGGAAAGATTTCAAACAAGTTAAAATTGACATTTCATTAAATCAACCATAGAGTTGATGACTTGATGCCATAATTCTCAAAATCAAACAGTCAGTAAATTACTACAAGATATCCACAAAAAAGATAAAGCAAATTATTCATCACTTCCTTATACGACAAGGACAATGACAGATAGAAGAGAGCCAGCACCAGCAAGATTAAGTGTGCCAGGAATCAGCACAAGCATTCCGTTTTTCAGACATTATATCAAACAACTTGTAAACATGTTTTTGGAACGTGGTATTGTATTGTAATAGAAACAAACTCAGACATTGCATCAAACAGATCATGTACAATCAAGCCACTAAATCTCAATGAAATGAGCTCTGTGAATTACCTGATAATTAATGTCTCATTTTTTCAATTTTTTTTTTCTTACTGAGGTGGAGCGTGCAAGTGTTGAGGGGGGAACATGTAAGCTTTGATTATTATAATAATTTTTGTAAGTGTGGGCTTTTCAACTGGGCCTAATCCAGTGCTTCTAATTTTAGGCCTAATGAAATTATTTACTTTACTCATTATAAACATTTTTTTTGGCTGTTATAGTTTAATTTTTCAAAATAAAAAACTATTTTTTATCTTGGTTAGAAATTTACTCGCAGGACATAAAAGGAAGTTTATTTTAATTTTTCTTTTCTCAATATATCCTTATTAATTGTAAAAAATAACAACCACCATCTCAATTATTTGTATTTAAATTCATTAAAATATTTATAAAATATTATGATTCAATTAAAGAAAAATATCATATTGCCAACAATTGTGGTAACAGGTTGTAAGGTTTAGAACCTAAGATAGGGCAGTAAACTCGAACAATTTTAATTTTTTTTATTAATAAACCATTTAGTTAAGGCCCTGCATCAGAGAACAAATTTTTAAGATGAAGAGGAGGAGTTTTAGATAAGATTTATTTTCTTCAAGAGCAATTCACGTAGAATAGGCGATTCTCCTTCCAAGGAGCCCAATAGTCATGTGTGTGCATATAAAGGAGATTATTTTCCTTCATGCATAAAATATATCCTTCGTGCATAAATTATAGCAGCATGAAAAGAGATCGAGAAGTCACAAACTATTAAATTAAGTGATAGGTTTTTTTACCTATATTTTTTTTTTCTAACTTTTTCTATCACTCTTCAACACCGTAGATTAAAAGAGAAAAATAAATGTTAATTAAAATTATGATCTAATGGTCTTTTAGAGTGATAAGTAAAGATAGACAAAAAAAAGTTAAAATTATGATCTAATGATATTTTAAAGTGATAAACAACGATAGGAAAAAACAAAATAGATAGAATAACTTATTCACGCTATGATAAACTTGTAAATATAAAGACGATAAACACTGGATAACAACTTACACGCATAATAAAAGATTACCTTGTCATCTAGAAAGAAAAATATAATCAATGTAGAATAATATAACATATCGATTACTAGAAGCCTTTCAGTTTTTCAATTTTCCAATCCGCGTACAGATGTGCACTGTGCACGAGGGGACTCTATTGATGTTAATGGGAATAATTTAAGTCGTGACTTCTGATAGGAAGTCATAAATTCATTTTGTGGAATCAAGATGCATACATGTAAACAGTTGTAATTATATTAACATGGACAGGTTCAGCTAACTTTCATATTTCACAGATATAAAAGCCAACCAACCCAAGATATTCAACAATGCTAGCTATATACCTTCATTCACTTGAAAGAGAATGGCCAATAAATTCGAGGGAGTTTCTGTAGGCATTGATCTTGGCACGACCTACTCATGTGTTGCAGTATGGCAGGAACATAGGGTTTTTGACCATTATAGCCTTTTTTTAATAATTAATTACCAAATTGACCCTATTTATAAACTATTTCAAAAATTTAACCTCTCCAGAAAACATAACACCAATCTGCCCCTGTTTGACCGTTGACCATGAAGCCTACCCGGGTACACCCCTACCTACCCGGGTAAATTTTAAAATTTTTTACCTACCCGGGTACACCCCTCCCTACCCGGGTATATTTCTTGAATCTGAAAAATGTTTGAATTATTTACCCGGGTAGGGAGGGGTGTACCCGGGTAAATAATCATAAACTGGTTGTGTGCGCCCATCCTCTTTGTGTGAACAGCAAATGAAAATCTCTAAATTGAAGGACTAACGCATGGAGAACAAAATCTGAAAACAGGTTATTGATGAAAGATATTCCACTGGATCATATGCCTGAGATTAGTGAAGCAAATAATCAAGGTTCTGCTCCAACAAAGGATGCTATTACATGTCACCAGTCAGACAATTCAAAAAAATGTTCAGAATTAGAGGTGAAGGAATTGGGCGTTAACAAGCTTGAGTTGTGGAAAACTGTAAAAGAGACAACTGAAGATGGCAAGAGGAAGATGTTGGAGAGGGTTGTCTCAGATGCTCAGAAATTGGCCATTTTTAAAATGACTCTGCAAGGTTTGAAAAAGAAACCAGAAACAAAGAAGAAAAGCAAGAAGAGAAAAGCTTGAGTTATGATTATTTACCCGGGTACACCCCTCTCTACCCGGGTAAATAATTCAAACATTTTCCAGATTCAAGAAATATACCCGGGTAGGGAGGGGTGTACCCGGGTAGGTAAAAAATTTTAAAATTTACCCGGGTAGGTAGGGGTGTACCCGGGTAGGCTTCATGGTCAACGGTCAAACAGGGGCAGATTGGTGTTATGTTTTCTGAAGAAGTTAAATTTTTGAAATAGTTTATAAATAGGGTCAATTTGATAATTAATTATTAAAAAAAGGCTATAGTGGTCAAAAAGCCCAGCAACATAACAATCGAGCTGAGATACTCCACAATGACCAAGGCAACAGAATCACTCCTTCTTTTGTTGCTTTCACAGACAAACAAAGGTTGATAGGCGATGCTGCCAAAAATCAGGCAGCCATCAATCCATCCAACACTGTCTTTGGTAATTCATCTTCTTCTTTTTTCATGATTCTCTCATTTCCTTTTAGCAGTACCAACGATACAAAACCATCGTTTTCATTTTTATCTTTGCAGATGCAAAGAGGTTAATCGGAAGGAAATACAACGATCCCATGATTCAGAATGATGTAAAGCTATGGCCATTTAAGGTAAGGAAGCTGAAGAAACTGAGAGATATTAAGAGATTGAGAGAATGTGTAAGGAAGCTGAAATTTACAAAGCTGAAGATATTAAGTACCAGAAGAAGGTTAAAGCAATGAAGGCCTTGGATGATTACCTTTACAATATGAAGAAAGTTATTAAGGAAAATTATTTGAGTTCCATGCTTCCCAAGCTAGATATGATTAAAGATCAAATGTGCAATTAGAAAGGGCAAAGATTTGGTTGATGGCTACCAGCTGAAAGAAGAGTATGTGTTCGTTAACTATTTGAGGGAGCTTGAGGTCATGTTTGAATCCGTTTTGGCCAAGATCAACCATTGTAGCTCTGATGAGGAAAGTGACCTGGAATAATATTAATCAAATCTTGCAACCTCTGTTCACGGTTCTGGCTATTGCTTCCTATGAAATTTATACTAAATAGGCCGTGTTTATATTAATTTTTCTCAGTAATCAAATAAACAACAGAGTGTTTATACCCATTACTGACCACCGAGTGCGGCACCAATACACTAAAAATACTCTCGCTTTAACTTCTTTTTTCGTGGCGTTGCAGTTTGGTAGATGTAAAAAAAAATTTACGTACAAATTACGATTTTTAGGAATACGATGAAAAAATGAGTTTTCTGAAAATATTATCAAAAAATTGTTTGGTAGACTAACATATTTCTGAGAATATTGGTTTAATTTTCTTGATACTATGTTTAGTTGTATTAAATTTTTTCTTGCCATAGAAATCCTAAAATATCACCTCCTGGATAGTATTCCTGGATGATTTTTTCAAAAAAATTTACACACAAAATAAAATCCCAGAAAAATTAGATTTCTTGGAAAAATTTTAAAAATCTTGTACCAAACGTGAATAAATAAAATTATTACTTTCAGTTTTTCGAGAATTCTAAAAAAATCCTTGTACCAAATTGCTCCTTGTGCTTTTACTTTTTAATGCCCTCATTCAACAGTTTTTTTTTTTAATTTGTTTCGATATCAGTTTCGTGTAATTTCATATTTTATAGTTTAATTATTTTTTAAAAATATTTGAATATTTAATAATTCAGCCAAAATTTCAATGTGTTTTGGCATTGGGAAAAAAAATTAAAAAATGAATAAAAGAAAAAGCATATCCAAAAGATCAGAACAAAGTTGAAATATAATTTGGAGAGAAAATAAGGAAGATTTTGAAATGTTTCAGTATTTTAAATTAATGTTATTAAAATTAGCTCAATCATTAATTTGGTAATTTATTTTTTTGAAATTTATTTTTAAAAAAAATTCGAGACTAATCGAACCGATTAAATGATCAGTTCACTGGATGTCGAATTGACTCGGTCAGTCCGGTCTAATTCTTACAAGATTATTCCAAATAATGATTGAGAAGAGACGCTTGTGGAACCAAAGCAATCCGGAGAGGATCGCCGTTGGTCTTTTTATTCAGTTCAAGGTAAAACTATTATCCTCTATGCTTGAAGTTTGGTCTTGAATGCTGCACCCTCTCACTCACTCACCAGCTTTCTCTTTCATGCCTCACATGTCACAACTGATGCTTGCTTCAACTCACTATCTCTCTTTTGCCAACCAAACATGTGATTTCAGAACATGTAATTTTTTGTGTGTGGGTCCCGTAC